AATCACAAATTCTTTGAAGAAAATTTTCCGGATGGGCCGGACCTGCTCCAAAAGAAAACTGGGCTGAAATCAGCCCAATTAATTAATTAGCCCGGTATTGTGCACATGCACAGTAACTAGTGAATTAATTAGCAGTTACTGTGCACTTGCACAGTAACTGCTAATTATCTTCTTGTTTGCAGAACGTGCACAATGCACGTTCTGCATGCAAGAAGACGACCCTAAACAGTGATGAAGGGGAGGGAGTTACCTAGGATGATGAGCTGGCGGTGGCCTGAGGAGTGGTGTGGACGGTGGTCAACCTTTCTTTTTCTTCTTTTCTATGTTTTTCTTCTACTCTGTTCTCCTCTGTTTATGTTTTATTCTTCTGTTGCTGACAGTGGTCTTCCCTCTAAGCCTGGGATGATGAGCTGACGGTGGTGCTGGTGGCGGTGGCCTAAGGAGTGGTGTGGACGGTGGTTCCAGGGGGTGAGGCTCGGTCTTCTTCTTCTCCGTGCAAAGACCCCAATCTCTATTTTTCTCTCCTCTACTATTTTAGCTTTCTCTCTCTCCTCTCTCTCTCTCTTTTCATTCAAACTTCCTCCCTCCTATTCACTCTTCTTCTTCTTCATTTTCTTTTTCAAAAGCTCTTCCCTCCCCTCTTTTCCCCCTCTCGTTTAAAAAATTGTCCCTTTCTTTTCGTTTCCCCTTCCCTCTCGTTCCAACAAAAAAAAAAAAAACCCCTCCATGTCCATGTGTTAATGTTGAGGATAATATTTATAGGCCAAAGAGGAGCGGCTTGCTATTACACGTGGGGAGCAAGGGAACGGCCTTCTATTGCGCATGGGAAGCAAAGGAGACACCGGGTGAGGTCTCCAATGAGTGGGGCTTTAAGTTCCGGGAAAAGGAATAGTGTTGAAATGACACTGTTTAGTTTTTTTTATTATTTTTAATTATTTATTATTTATTTTTATTTTCGTGGGGGCCAAAATGGGTTACAAGCCAAAGACAGGCAGAGAATCCAGAGGCTAACAGAATAGCAATCAAGCAGCGTGACAGGAATCATCAAAAACTGAATACAAAAACTTATAAAAAACCGAAGCTTCAGTCTAGTAATAAAAATCTTAAAGCTTCTCCCATCAGAGAATCCAGAGGCTATTCTGAACAGAATAGCAATCCACACACAAACCCCTGCTCAAAACCACAGAAAATTCAAGCTGAATAAACTTATATTCAAGGCTTCCAATAAGCTCAAGTCCACGCTGTAATTAAGATCCACCAATCCATTCACCCCTTGTTTTGCAAAATGGAGCTAGCTTCTCGGAAGGTGTGACAGAAGGAAATGTTACCCAGTCCAGAAGAAAACCTGGAAACTTTAACAAAAGCTCATGGAACTTCCAAGTTCTAGAACAAGGATTGTTCATCCAACTGACCACTGAAGCAGAGACAGATTCCACCGAGAAATTGAACCCAACAAAATCATTCTTTGATGAAGACAGATCAATGGCTTTAACCACTGCTAGCAGCTCAGCTTTATCGGAGTCCCTGTTGCCCACTGAATAAGAGAAGATACCTCTAACAATCCCCCGATAATCCCTGCAGGCCCTGTTTTCCTTTTGAAGAACCATCAACATTCCATTTTAATGTAAGAACGTCAGGTGGCTTCCAGAATAAGGGGGATCTAATGTTTTTGACATTGATCCAAATCACAAGACCATCAGATGAGAGCCATAAATCCGATAATCTGATGCAGTATAATAGAAATCTGCGTTGATGGCTCTTAACCAAGTACACAGCCGAGCAGTGGCGGAGCCAGGGAGGGGCTGGCGGGGGCCGGGGCCCCGGCAAGGAATTTTTTTTCCAACCCCTCCCTTTATAATATTTATATATTTAATCTAAATAATAAAACAACTAATATTTTGGCCGCTTTTAATTCTATTTTCTGGTTCCGCCCCTGCAGCCGAGTTAATATTGAAAAGAACTCTGCGTTCATGTCTTGTTTTATAATGTGTACTTAATCAAGTAAAATATAGCTTGAAGTGGTGAATAATTATTGACTTTGGAGAGTGTTGTGGATATAAATGCTTTGCATGGAGAAGGATAGAGAATTATGGAGGTATTTTTAGAGAAGAAATTAAAGGAGCTGGATTTCTCTTTGATTATGGGAAATTGCATGGTTAATTTCTCATGTTGTGTGCTATTAGTGGAGTGGTCTTCTCCAACGGCCTTGAGAGTTCTTATCAAACGCAAGCTGAACCAAGTTAGGCTTTTAATGAAAATTATTTGTCAAATTAGGTCAAAATTCGATGACAGATTATACAACTGGGATAAGGTAGGCCAGTCTCCTCTTTATTAGTAGTTATCAATTTCTTGCGGCCTGGATAACGTAAAACAAACACGTGGAAACTTTTAATTTTTTTGTTGCAATAAAAAACCTCAAATGCTTATCTAAAGCTTGATCTGTTTAACAAAATTAATCTGTATTAATAAATATAAAAAATTATTAATTATAAATGAAGACTGAAAACACCAAAAAAAAAAATTCACTGCTCATCATGCCATTTAGCATTTTTCATTTAATTATATATAAATATTTTATTTGAGAAAAAAACAAAAACTAAACCAAAAATTCACACATTTCAATTCATATGCTTTTTATTTATTTGGGTTCGCATCATGGCCTATTTAATTAAGCGATCGCCTCATTTAAAACCTAATTTAATTTTTAAAGAAATTTTAGCTTGTTGTTGTTTAAACCTTTACCTAACGTGATTATATAAAACTGTGAAAAGATAAACTCTTAAAGGATAAAATAAAATATAAAAGATTAAGGATTAAAACAAAGAAAAAATACTATATTAAATTAATCATCTCAATTAACTCAAATTAATATTTTAAATTTATGGTCTCACTGATTACATGATTGCAATGAGCCAATTCGATATAACAATTCGTCACATTCATTTATCTTCTCCTGCATCTTTCCTCCTCAGTCAGGTCTTAATTATCCTCGATTAGATAAAATATGGGTATAAATTTAAGAAACATCTAAGAATTAGAGACTAAATTTAAAAAAAAAAACTATTTTCAAAAAATTAGTTACTAAATCAAATAAAAATTGGTTGATTAGGAATATAATTGAGAAACATAAATTCATGGTTGAGGTCATGACACAACATGGTGCATGATGCTTCCTCTAGGATCCGTTCGCGACTTTCATAGGCGGCATTGGCATCACCATGACGAGGTCTCTCTCCTAGGGCAGCACAAGTCATCGGTGAGTCCATGGTATAGCTCTAGTTGTCATTTTTCTTTTTCTTCTCCTTTTCTCTCACCCCATAAATTTTCAAGCAAAACCTAAAAACTCCTAACATTGCATGCGGTCAACAAAAGTTTGTGAGAGGTTCTACAGTGATTCTCCACAAAAATTAGTTTTTTTTCCTATGATATATAATGAATCTTATGTCTCACTTGTTCGTTGAAAAGAATAATGTTTTATTACATGGATGGCCTATTGGACAAGCGGGCATGCAAGAAATGTTTGAAGAACGTTTTGTGTGCAAACGTATTATATGTTTTTGTTGTTTTGGGTCTTTAATTTGGAGCTCATTTACCTCTTTCTCTAATTTAATTACCTCAAAATTTGAATTCAAGATCATTTCATTCACAATATCCAACACGTAGGAACTTGATATACCGTGGAGATCAGAAAATGGTGTAAAATTATCACATATAATTGATGAGCTAGCAAGTTGCCTTTAATTATTCACAATTAGAACAAATGTTAAATTGGTATAAGAAAAAAAAATTAGCATTGATCATGCATTAATTTAACAAGATACCATTTAATTAAAACCTTTTGGTTCAGCTCATATTAAATTGGTATTTGCACTTCGCAGCCATATATAGCTAATTTGTCAACAGAGAGTTTTTGACATATTTATTTTGGCAACCATCTTTAGCCCACCCCATTTGCTCCATTTTTCCAAAGCAAATCGTACAAGTCTCTCTTTGGACCTTCATCATGATTTTTGGAGAACATTATCTTTGTATCTTCACCCTTTAGCTCTCCATGGCAATTGGTTTATTTTATTTTTTTATTAGCACCTTGCCAAAATTTACACCAAACTGGATTAAACTTCAGATAATTAACCCATAGATGGATTTATCACAGTATATTTGTTTTTGTATTTTAAAAATATTTTTGAAAAAAAATATTTTTTATTTCAAATTAACTATTTTTTGATATTTTTAGATCATTGTAATATACTAATATTAAAAATAAATTTAAACAAATATAATTTTGATATGTTTATAGACAAAAACACTTTAAAAAAAAACTAATATTATAATACTAAACAGGCTATTATAGATTTGTAAGAGAGTAACTTGGAACTCAAAAGAATGGAGACAAATATAGAGGAAATAAAGGAGGGTAGGAATTTTTTTTCTCCTTGTACTTGTACTATAAATAAATAGAAAAATATAGATGAAGAATTTTTTTATTTCAGTAATTTGAAATTAAGAAGAAAAATACAAGCAAATGAAAACATTAATTATTAGAAACATTGATTCTAAGAAAGAAAGAAATATTAATTCAATTTCATTGGATTTTTTAGAGGTAAGATTTAGAATTCAAAATCAAGAATGAAATTGAGAATTCAATTATTTTAGTAAGTATTTTCTTTAATTTATCAAAAATCTACATTATTTTCTTTCGTGGACCCAAAGAGATTTTGTTTTGCAAATAAGGAAATTTCACCTACTTAGAATACTCCTTCCTCCATAATTGTACTGTACATGATTTCAGCTACTCTTACAACTTTCTCCATTCATCTTTAATTACTCTTTTTCTTTCCTCTCAAGCTGTAAAATTAATAAACAATAGCAAGATTAAATGTGTTTACTCATTTTGAAATCAGTATTTTAGTATTAGAGTAAGTAATTAGTAATCTGAATTAAAATGCAGTTTAAATCTGAAAATATCTTAATCCGTAAGAAAATAAAAAATAAGACTGAACATAAACTTTATTAAGAACAATTAACATAAAACAAATGATTAAGAATTAAAGGTATATCCCTTATTACATTACATTATGGCATTGGATTGAAAGATTAAATAAAGCCCAGCAAACCCTATCATTGGACGATGGTTTGCCTTTATTCCTCACACAAAATATTATGCTACAAACATATATAAAACAAATCACTAATTGTATGGTCCCATGTATACCGAATAGATATGAACTCGCATGCATGCATGGATGGCGCCATGCATTTATGCATAGAAATGCATGGCGCCATGCGTTTCTATGCATAACTACACATCCCATACTGACATGCACTCCCTTTCTTGCACTTGTTGTTGCAACCTCCGCAATGATTCCTGTTATACATTGGGTTCACACACTTCCCTTTGCAACAAATCTCTGTGTACTTACATTTCTTACCACACTTCCCACAGTTAAACCAGTCTGTCATTTGATTCACACACATCTTCTTGCAGCAATCTGGACCAGGGCTTCCCTGAACTTGACAAACCCTAGGGTTCTTGTCACATGTCATGAAAGCCCGAGTCTGGGCTAGAAAGCGGTTTGTCCCTCTCAGAGATGAGGTTGTTTCTTGGCTCTCAGTCTGATGATGGTCAGAGTTTTCCTTGTCTTCGAAATCGAAGTCAGGGAATGAAACATCTTCCGTTGGTGTAGCAGAAAGAGTAATGGCTAAGAATGAAATGAGCATAGCAAGTAGAAAGAGTAGCTTAAGGAACTTCATCTTGTGGGTATTATAAACCCTATCCAAGCAAAATATTATAGTTCAGGAAAGATTGAACTATTGGAGGAGAGGCTGAGAGGGTTTTTGATATGGATGGGTTGATGGAGAAGACAGGAGGCTTGATGAGGTATTTATATAATTCTTGACTGTAGGAAAACAAATCTTATTGATAGGAAATTGCATGGTTTTTCATGTTGTGTGCTATTAGTGGAGTGGTCTTATTCAACATTTTGGTAACTTGCTATCAAAATCAAGTAGCAAACTAAGTTAGCTCTCAAAATTAGGTAGGTGAATCTCCTCTTCTTTCTTTCACAAGTATGAAAATATCTTCAAAGCATTCTTTATAATTGGTAATTGATTACCTTTAGCGCTCATTGCGTGTTGTTTTCCCTTCACTCTTGACAATTACTTGCATGCATGGTATACAAAATAACAAAAAAACTACCGTCAATAATGAATTTAACAAAACTAAAGCTTTTGGTTTAGCTCACATTAATTTGGTCATTGACAAATTTTTCAGCAAACATCTTCAGCCGACTTTTCTTGTTTCATTCTTCTCAAGCAAACCCTACGTCTTTGACAAACTTGAAAAACCGTTATGGGAGCACTTTCAGATCATGGCTATATTGCTTTAGTCTAAAACCAGATGTCAACCGGAGCCTGAATCTCTAAAACCTGAAATAATTCAGAAGATGACGGGCTTGGGTTTTTTGGATTGGAGCAAGCCTTCACCCTTATCCACTGCCATCTTTGTTTATAAGATTTAACATTATTATTGATCTAAAACTTTTTTTATACTTCGCTTATATAATTTAAATACTTATTTTTTTTATAATTAGATATAGATAATTTATGAGAGTGAGCTAGTAGCTCAATTGGATACAGTTAAGTTGTAATGAGTGAATTAGGGGGAGAGGACATCCCTGATTTGAATCCCTACTTGCATTTTCTGATTTGAATCCTATTATATGTGTGATTATTGAGGATCTTGAGATGGCAGGCTCTTCTCTATAGTTCTCTTAGGAGTGGTCACTCACTCGTGGGTTGTGTCCAAGGGTGTCCATGATATTAAAAAAAAAGTATAGATAATTTGTTTTTTAGTTTTAGATTTAATATTATCATCAATTTCAAATTAAAAAGTTGTCAGATTATGTTTATGAAATTCTCGGCAAGAGACTGCTTGTATAAAAAAAAGACATATCACTTCCAATGTACTTTATCTAAGATAAGTTGTATCGGTATTTAATTGTTTTTCTAGGTTGGGATTCTATTCTTTTCTAATATTTAAGACAGATCTCTTCTTGAGAGAGAGTTTCTACCTCATTGAGTTTAATCTTAACCGTTCTAAAGTTCAAATTTAACATCATATTTATTTTGTACATTGTATCTTTAATACTTGAAAGTGTACCCTATTGTGTATTTTACACCTCATAGATATTAAAGTCTATATCTGAACTCTAAAAAAAATTGAAAAAAAGTTGTTACACCCGACATCATGACGGCCTTAAAAATATTTATTTTTGAAAAGAATGGATTTCTAGCATCCTATTCTTTGATGGGGAATATTCTTATTTAAAGAGTAGCCACCTAATATTATGATCACTAGGAACCCTAACTAGTCAACAGAGATTATACGGTTCGAGATTGGTTACAGAAACAGAGATTCTATGGTTCGAGATTGGTTACAGAAAAAAAAAAAGATATTATCACTCTTTAAACGTTCTGCTTAAAGCAGACTGCATTGCTGGTTTTGTTTTAAATTACTAATGTTTTGTTGGTTTATGCTATGGTGGTTTTGCATGTAATATTCCTAACTCTGGCGTCAGTGAATATTTAGTTACAAATATTTTCAACTCTTGCATTAGTAAATATTACGTAGCTAAAAAATAAAATCAATTTAAATCAATTTTTTTTATTCCTGACTCTAGCATCAGTAAATAAACAAATCAAATAAATTTATTTTTACACATCACACAAAAAAAAATTTAATCAGTATTTTTTTTATTCCCGACTTTAGCCTCAGTGAATAAACAAATCAAATCAATTTATTTTTTACGCATACACATTTTTTATGTGACTGAATAAAAGTAAAATATAATAAAATAAAATAAATTTACATCAGTAACTCTGGCATCAATGAATAAACCTATAAATTTACTTCTTCTTTTTTTTTTACATGCATATTTTTTATTTTTATGTAATTAAATAAAATACAATAAAATAAATTTGAATGAATATTTTTATTTTGACTATAGCGTTACTGAATAAAAATAGTAAATTCATAGTTAGTTTTTTATTTATGCATACACATGTCTTTGTTTTTTTGTTTTTTTATTTTGTTTTTTATTATTTTTTTGGGCTGGGTCCAGCTCAGCACATATGGGCTGGGCTAGACCCAGCCAGCCCGGCCTGGTCACTGGCCCAATCCAGTGACCCGGCTGGGCACTGTTTCAGACTGCATGCGTGAATTATTCACGCATGCGCTGCACAGTGCGTAGGTAATTAAAATTGCCATTGCACAGTGCCAAAACAAATGAAATGCAAAGCGGGGAGAGACGAGGAACGACTTACCTGGTGCAGCAAGGCGTAGCCGAAGACGAGGGCGCACTGTGCTGGATGAACGATGCTGCCTCCGCTGCTCTGGTTTTTTTTTTCCTTTATTTCCCGGTTTGCTTCTGTTCGTTCACGCCCTTTATAATCTCTGTCTATTCTCTCCTTCCTCCTCCTGTTCGTTCGTCTCCTCTCTGCTTCTGCTTCCGGAGACGATGAATATGGCTGCAGTTGATCCTGACTCTGGGTCGTTCTTCTTTTTCTGCTGTTATTTTGGGTTTCTTGCTCTGCTTTCTCAGTCCTTGTGATGAAGAACAGAGGACGGTGCTGGCTTCTCCTTTCGAATTTGGGTCTGGGTTTTTGCTATGTGTGTGGCTTGCGTTTTCGTGGTTTTTCCTCTGTTTTCCTGGGTTTTTTCTTCCTTGTTTTTGCTTGCGTTCTCTTTTTTTTCTCCCTTCTTTGCTCTGTTTTTTTCTTTTTATTTTTTTTCTCTGTTCCTCCTCTGGTTTCTGGGTTTATTTTTCTCTCTCCCTTCCTCCTCTTTGTCAACTATTGTTGGGTATTTACAGGGACAAATCCTCCTTTCCCTCGACCTAACGTCTCTCCTCCTGATAACCACGGCTGAGGGAGACGATTCCTGCTAAGACTCGAACATGAAGCCTAATTCTTATCTCATAGGATTGTAATTATCATGAAGATAAAAATTGCTTCTCTGTGTTTTAAAAGGACTAGGATACTGGTGTTTCACACTTTCATTTCCTTCTTTGCAGGCGGGCATTCAGTGTTTTGAAGACGAAGATGACGAACAGGGCCTGATTGAAACAGTGCTGTTTTTGGGGGTGGAATGGTTATTTCTAATTTGGTCCTTGAACTTTCTAATTCCTTGCATTCAAACCCCTGGTCTTTTAATTTTTCAGATTTACCCTCCTTAAAATTTAAATTAAAATAAATGGAAAAAAATTGGGTAATGACAAAGGTATTTGATTTTTTCACCAAATCATAATAAATAATCATAAATTGGTTACAATATCCATTTTACATTTAAAATATAAAAAAAATATAATTTTTATTTTTATAAAAATATGCTTAGAAAACTAAATATAATTTTTATTTTTATGAAAATATGCTTAGAAAACTAAGATTTGGTCGTATGTATGAAAAATATATATATATATTAAAAAAATAATTAATTTAAAATTTTTGTGATTTTAAAAAAATTATTTTTTAAATTGTTTTAGAAATATTTCAAAGAAAATTAGGTATTTTAATATTAGATTTGTATCTTACATGTAAAAATATAATTTAATATTAATTAAAATTTGTTGAAAAACATTTGAGAAAATCATAATTTTTTGAAAGGATTTTGAAAAAACATTTTGATTTTTTCCTTATATATATATGCTGAGCCCAAAAAAGGGTTGGGTTAGGTCGATCTCGACCTAAAAGATCTTTTTTTTTTAGGATCAGGCCCGACTCAATCATTTAGGCTAGGCCAAAATTATTATGCCTCAACATTCATTGCATAAATAGTAGATTTAAATTATAATTCACGTCTAGTGTTTACATATAAACAATGAAACATGAATTATAATTCATATCTACTATTTATGAAATAGTGGACAACAAAAGAAGGAGAGGAAGACAAAGAGGAGCAGGCTACTTAATGTGGTTTTGGTTTGGACATGTTGCTAGCAGTGGCAATGAAGGTGGTTGGCTATTGACAACAAATAAAGGAAAAGAAGAAGAAGAAAATCTATAGAGGGAGGAGTGAGGAGTTCACGGTGGGTGGCTTTTCTATCACTGATGAAAATTTGGGTTGGTGGAGATGATAATGGTCAAGTCAGTGGTGAATGTGGTGGTGGCTAAGAGAGAACTCGTTGTAGAAAAACTAGGCGAGGGGAGGCTAGTTTTTGGTCAAATCTGCACTCAATTTTCTCCTTCCTCGAGCCATGAAATCCATCCTTTTTTTATAAAGGGTGGAAGAAGGAAATTATTTCTACATTAGAAAAAAAAAATTAAGTCCTTGATTTAGTTAGGAAAGATCTCAAATATTAGTTCAAAATAGGCATCATGAACTGTCAAATTTGACAGTTTAAGGTTACCTGAGTCAGCCATTTAAGGTCAGTGTCAGTATTGTTGTGGTGTCATTCAGTCTGACCGAGTCATACCTGAAATAGAGGGATATCAACTGATCACTTTCGTTCTGGTTTTGTCAAATTTGATGGGCATATGAAATATTAAAATCACTTAAAAAGTAGTCACCCATACAACTTTTTAACTAAAAAACGAGAAAAACAATAAAATAACATATAATCTAGTCTTTTTTTAGTTTAATTCAGTCCTTCACCTTTCAATTATATTTTATTTCACCTCTAATTAACCTTAACCATTTCGATTTAATGCAATTTAGCTGCTAGCTAACTTAATTTTTATCCCTAGATTTTGGCGCTTGTTTCACTTATTAGTGTCATAATTATATAATTTGATCCTTAATTACCAATTAGAATTTTAATTTTAACCATTAAACCTATTA